CATTTGTGTTGAGCCTCAGGCAATATTTGCTTATTAACTAGCCTTTTATGGGTATTGTAAATTGAAAGATCTGGCTATGTCTATATAAGGCAGAATGTTATTCGACTAGTGATGCTGCTGCTGCTGCTGCTGCTGCTGCTCAACTATTACATTTGAAGAAGTTAAAGAAACGAAATAAGTACAACAGGTATAGCTTTACTTCTTTTTACAAACGTCTTCTGATTCTCTCTTGCAAATGATTATCATAGCTCATTTCAGGTACAACGTCAAGTTAGAAAGGATTACTGTTAATGGTATAAGTCTGAAGCTCTTTGTTCTCGCTTAAAATGAACTCAATCAGTATTTTTTTGCTGCTTAGCTGCCTCTTTCTTGAAGGCACGTCCTTTTTCGGTTTTGGCTGTGGCGTCGGCATTGGTTCGTCGACATTTTCGAGCATTATCTTCTGTTCTTATGGATTACTTTATAACATCCCTCCTTTCCTTCATAAGCCTCTATACATATTGATGTCAAACCATATTACTTGCAGGTCTAGGCTGTGGTTACGGCATGATGGGTCTAGGTTATGGTGGATATGGTGGACTAGGAGGCTACGGTGGATTAGGAGGAGGATATGGCTTAGGCGGCTATGGAATGGATTATGGTTATGGAGGAATCGGAGGTTACGGAGGATACGGTGGTTACGGAATGTATGGAGGTAAATCATTTTTATAGCTCACTGAAGTCATTTCATTAACATCCGTCTTTACAGGAGGCTGTGGAGGAGGATGTGGAAAGAAATAATAAGAATTACATTTTTTAATAAAGATTTTATCAAAATGTGATGTTGATGAAGATGATGACACGGCAGTCAATTACAATTGGAATCAACTGACTCCAAGAAAAGTTGGAATTCCATTTCCTGAGATCATACTCAATGTAAGAGATTGTTCTTCACAAAGTATTCCAATATAAGAATGTGGCCATATCATGGACGTCATCCAATACTAGATAATGCATCTGTACAATGTTTCGAAAACGGGATGTTAGGGAAAACAGCTGAATTCCTTCTTCTTTTTCTTTAAACAGTGAGATTGAGCGTTTTTTTGTAGACGACTGTTGTAGTCTGAGCTAATCCCCCCCTCCTCCTTCATTTCTCTCTCTTCTTCTCCTCCATTCACAGATAATTGAATGATTACTTATCAGAGTTCTTATGTTATCCTATGTCTTCCCTTCATTTCCTTCCACCTTGAATCGATTTTCTCTTTTACGGTTTGATTATCACTCCCCCCATATTCATGTTCAATGCAATTCTACTTCAGCTGTCTCATGTTGTTATTTACACCTCTCCAACCCTGTTCATACTCCT